GCTTTCATGGAGCAATCCAAAATGGCCGCGAGTGGTCCCGCCCACAAGAAAATTGTGAAAAAATGCATCTGCGCATGAGTCAGCCGGAGCAGCTCTATTCATTTGAACGAGAGACTTCAAAAATTCACAGCAAGTAAACTAGAGTGGACCAAAACACCCCCCTCAGCATTGACACACATGTGGAACGGAGCTTTGGGCCAAGAGACAACTTTTGGTCCATCCTGTAAAGACGTTTTCCAGAGGTCTGCCAATGCTATATGTTAGCATTGGCTAATTCTACTTCTGGGTCCACCCCCACAGGCCCGGGGTGGTATTGCAGCATGTCAGCGCACGTCATTTTGGCCACTTTTGAGCTGGGACCCCCCCCACTGGTTCGCACACACAGAACTCATTGTAACACATCACTACTATGTATAAGTCCGCCCTCTGCCAGAGCCTGTGTTCACTATATACTACGCTAAAACATTGTTATGGGAGGTAAAAATAAAAATAAAAAACAGTATTTTTCATATTTTCATACTTTTCTTGTTTAGATAAAATAATTTTGTGATGCTGTATTTAAAGAAAACATTTATCAAAAATGTTTAATAAATAAGTAAATAATAATAATTTGTTTTAAACTAGAATCAAGTCGTTTGAGGCTAGTTTTATTTTGTTTATTTTCAGAAATCTTAAATCATATTTTCTTGTTCTATTTTCAGATTTTTTTTAAATTATCTTAAGCAGTATTTTACATATTTTTATTTTTTTAAATTGTTTCCAGTGTAAGAGAAATAAACGAGTGGCTTGAAATAAACGCTGAAACACAATGACATTTATTCATTAAAACAAGACGAAAACAAAACAATCACGTCTTACACTATCCTCTACGTCTACAGATGACAAAAGTATTTATGACTTTGTAAACAGTTTTTACATGTGTGTCATGAGAGGACTGCGATGGACGCTTAAAAAACAAAACATCAAGACTTTCGTTCAAGTTTAAATTGAGATATAATGAAGAAAGTACAAGAGCTAATCTATAATTAACACACTTCACAGACAACAGCCGCAAAACCACACACTCCTTAAGCCTGGTTCACACGGCAGGATAATTAGGCCGATTTAAGACCCTTACCCCTAATGACAGTCGTTAAAATAATGTGAGGTATTGTTCATGTGTGGTGTGTTAAGACTGCGTCGCTCAGAAGGACTTCAGGACTGCTCCGATCTCAGGGATATCAAACATGTAGGATTGTTTTGGCCCAATTTCTCTCTAGACGAACGCGTTGCCATGACTGCGGCGTGTAGCCAATCAGAAGACGAGGTGACGAGGCGGTGACGAAAAACCGGGAAAAAAATCATAACAGTCAGCGGCAGCACCAGAGAGTCCGGTGGATGTCAAAGATAGAGGAGGTTGACACTTCTTCCCGGTAAAAACAAACAAACTATCTCCACTTTATCCTCTTCGATCTCTAGTGCTTTGGAAAATCGGCCAAAAGTTTTAAAATCGTCTCGCGTGAACCAGGCTTTACACAAAAACTTTCCCAAATCAGTTTAAGCAGAAAATATCTAACCACTCATTCAAAAACAACTCATACAAAACATAACTTTGTTTCATTATATCGTGGCAAAGATGAGACCATAATTGTAAGACATTTTACAAAGTCCATGGCAGGAGACATGTAACCGTCACAAAGACTACATCCTTCATCTTGATGTACACATTCCAAATTTGTCTTTCAAATAGCAACACAAACCAATAAATTGAATGGGATGGAGAAACACTATGTAACGTCAGCCTGAGGAGCGACGAGAAGCATCCACAGGTCCATGTAGGCAACCGGACAGGCTTTGACAGATGTAAAAATATATGTTTCTTCGTCATCTTTAACACTCAGTAAATGTGTACGGCTGCGTGTTTTGGGCCGTGCACCAGTTGGCTCTTCAGGGTTCGTCTAAGAGAGAATTTTCTCCCGTGTCTCAGGCAGCTTCAGAGCCAACAGGCCGCCGCAGACCAGCGCAGAGAAGGCCATGAAGATGGGAATGATCTTAGTAACTCCAATGAACGCAGCAAAGATGAAGCTGGAGATTATGGCTGCAAACTTACAGATGGCATTCAGGATCCCGAAAGCTGTGCCTCTGCAAAGACAACCGATAAACGAAGGTGTCGAGTGTGTTTCATTGTTAGAGTTTTCATATTGCTACCTTTTTGCAGAAGGGTATAGCTCCACAGAAATGACCTCGAGGCCATTCCACGCTGCCACACTGGCTCCGTAGAACAGACACTGCCAACATATAACTGCTCCCTGACTGAAGCTCAGCAGCAAGAGGAACGTGCAGCCAGACGACACCAGCATAGAGCCACCTACACACACAGACACACAGACACACAGACACACAAACACACGCACAGACAGACACAGACAGACACAGACACACAGACACACAGACACACGCACAGACAGACACAGACAGACACAGACACACACACAGACACAGACAGACACACACAGACAGACACACACACACAGACAGACACACACAGACAGACACACACACACAGACACAGACACACAGACACACGCACAGACAGACACAGACAGACACAGACACACACACAGACACACACACAGACAGACACACACACACATACAGACACACACAGACACACACACACACAGACACACAGACACAGACACACAGCCACACACAGACAGACACAGACACACACACACACAGACACACACACACAGACAGACACACACAGACACACACACAGACAGACACACATAGACAGACACACACGCACAGACACACACACAGACACAGACAGACACACAGACAGACAGACACACACGCACAGACACACACACAGACACACACACAGACACACAGACACACACAGACAGACACACAGACACACACACACACGCACAGACAGACACACAGACACACACAGACAGACACACACACGCACAGACAGACACAGACAGACACAGACACACACACATACAGACACAGACACACAGACAGACAGACACACACGCACAGACACAGACAGACACACACACATAGACACACACACACAGACAGACACACAGACACACACACACAGACAGACACACACACACGCACAGACAGACACACAGACACACACACACACACACAGACAGACACACACACTCACAGACACACACAGACACACACACACACACAGACAGACACACAGACAGACACACACACACAGACACACATAGACAGACACACACGCACAGACAAACACACAGACACAGACAGACACACAGACAGACAGACACACACGCACAGACACACACACAGACACACACAGACAGACACACAGACACACACGCACAGACAGACACACAGACACACACAGACAGACACACACACGCACAGACAGACACAGACAGACACAGACACACACACATACAGACACAGACACACACACACAGACAGACAGACACACACGCACAGACACACACACAGACACAGACAGACACACACACACAGACACACACACACAGACAGACACACAGACACACACACACAGACAGACACACACACACGCACAGACAGACACACAGACACACACAGACACAAACACACACACACACAGACAGACACACACACGCACAGACACACACACAGACACACACACACACACAGACACACACAGGTCTGATAACATTGTACAGATGTTATTGTTAACCTTCCCTGAGCTCCGCTCACCTATGATCCGGATCCTTCCGATCTTGTCCATGAACAGAGCTGATATGATGTTGCCGGGCAACACCGCTAAGCTTCCCAGGAAGCTGACCAAATAGATGACAATGTCATTCTCCTCCTTAAAGTTCAGATGACAGCCTTTCTTTGGGTGAAGAAAAGTACTGTTCTCCATTCGACAGTCTTTAAATTTCTCCTGCCATAGATCTGAAAATGAGACACAATGATTTGACAAAAAGTAAATGTTGCAACATATGTAAAGGACAAACTGAGATCAAAAGAGTACTTAGCATTAGCATTAGCATTAACATATCATGATGGAATACCTGTGTTGTAGAACATTGTGTTTTTAATGGTGCAGTTCTCAAAGAAAGTGTTTGTCGACTTGATGTCCTCAAAGTAGCAGTTCTCAAACAAAGAGTCTTCAAACTTCACAGATCTGATTTCAATGTTTGCAAACCTGAAAGCAGAGGTTTCAGTGCACATTCCTAGAGTCAAAACACAGAGTGATAATTATCCGTCATCGCACTTGTCATGCACGTATTGTCCTTCCCGATGCAGTTGGTTGACGAGTGAGAAGTTGAAGTGGAATCGTTCGACTCGTTCTCTGTGAAAGACCTTCACCTTGGACTGGTACTCCTCATACTGCATGTACTTGATCATATCAGGGAACCACACTCCGAGCCCATGGTAGCTTTACACAAAACACACGTAAAAGTATAGTATCTCAGAAGTGACGCAGAGGTGAGCGAAGCAACAGTACCTGAAAGCCAAACAGAACCACACAATGACCAGAAAGAGGCCCTGGAGTCTGAGCTCGGGGGCCGACAGGGACATGATGTTGGCCATGACCTAAAACACACACATTCAGAGTTTATTCTACGATAACGACCGATGTCTTTGGGAAAGTGTGAAATGTGGGGCGGACCTGCTGCAGCATGGTCATGTGACGCACAGACCAGCGCTGGAAGGCTGTCCCTGTGTCGCTCTGGATCTCTATGAACTCATCCTCCTGAGTCTGGGGAGTCTTGATGTTGGTCACCTTTAAACGTAAAAGCAGGATTTGTAAAAGTGTGTTTGGGTTTTGTGACTTGCAAACTTCCCTCACGAGTTGATTGACGGTTGTTACTTTGATGCACTCTTTGAGAACAAAAGATAAAGAGTCTGTTTCCGCTGTAGATCTCTAGTACAACCCTTGTGACCGTGCCTAGGGCTATACTATTGTATCTCTAGTGCTTTGTGAATCAATGAAATTATTTAACTCTGTGATTGTATGTATCGCAACATAGAACACAAAATAATAATAATAAATGTCTTAGAGAAAATGAGGCACTTAGATGCAAAACGTTTTTAGTTTTATCAACATATGTTTTCATCGGGGGTTGTGAGAAATGCCCAGGTACATGACCCACAGATATTATTATAGACCCATGATGACCACCTATTTAAAGTCATGTGACCCATCAGTCATGTGACAAAAATGAAAAGATAAAATAGATACTAGTCAGTACAATATACACATTAGCGTACAATCCAGATACATTACATACAGTGACAGATTCTATGCTAATTTGTATATTGTACCGGCTAGTATTTATTTTATTTTATTATTTGGCTTGCCCAATCAGAAGACCAGTTACTCCTACTCTCCTTCTTCTAATCAATAATAATAAAATTGGTCATTGGACTTCTACACCCCATGGTAGCAGAGCTTGTGGGTGTAATTGTATCAGAGCAGACCTGAATAGAAGGCAGTCATTTATGTCATTACTTTTGAGTCAAAATGCCAACTGTGAAAAATACCTGTTGTGTGGACGCCGTGGCAGACCTGACTGACCGGTGCTATCATTAGAGCTAATCGTGGCTCCCGGGGCCCGTGGTGATAAAGTCAAAGAGCTCATTCCGGGCTGTGTAGCTCCCATCATAACCAGCGACTCATGCGCAGACTCCTGTGGTGTCTTTTGTAAACTTAATCATCGGTTATTGATACACGACTGCGGACGCATTGTCATTTTCTACCAAATTATATTACTTTCTTTTAGCAGAGAAAATTATATACATTTCACGTGTATATAGACGTACAGGTACAGGCAGACGTACAGGTACAGGCAGACGTACAGGTACAGGCAGACATACAGGTACAGGTAGACATACAGACAGACGTACAGAGGTATACATACAGGTGTATACATACAGGTAGACGTACAGGTGTATACATACAGGTAGACGTACAGGGGTATACATACAGGTAGACGTACAGGGGTATACATACAGGCAGACGTACAGGTGTATACATACAGGTAGACAGATTATATAACTTTGAATGCAGTACTCACAGTGAAGACTCTCTCAGGCTCTCCCTTTGCTTTCCAGTTGGTGTCGTGAACGTTGCGAAGAATCATCCACGCCTCGTCATGTCGAGCATTCTGCAAAAAGGTACAGTATTGTTCCCTACGGTGTACATACGGTGTACATACTGTGTACATACGGTGTACATACTGTGTACATACGGTGTACATACGGTGTACATACAGTGTACATACGGTGTACATACGGTGTACATACGGTGTACATACTGTGTACATACTGTGTACATACTGTGTACATACGGTGTACATACAGTGTACATACGGTGTACATACGGTGTACATATTGTGTACATACTGTGTACATACGGTGTACATACAGTGTACATACAGTGTACATACTGTGTACATACTGTGTACATACTGTGTACATACTGTGTACATACGGTGTACATACTGTGTACATACAGTGTACATACAGTGTACATACGGTGTACATACGGTGTACATACTGTGTACATACTGTGTACATACGGTGTACTTACGGTGTACATACTGTGTACATACTGTGTACATACTGTGTACATACAGTGTACATACGGTGTACATACTGTGTACATACTGTGTACATACTGTGTACATACTGTGTACACACGGTGTACATACGGTGTACATACTGTGTACATACTGTGTACACACGGTGTACATACGGTGTACATACTGTGTACATACTGTGTACATACTGTGTACATACGGTGTACATACGGTGTACATACTGTGTACATACTGTGTACATACTGTGTACATACTGTGTACATACTGTGTACATACAGCTGGAGACACAGTAGTCCCTCTGTTTCTTTCTCAGTGTGCACACAAGTACTGTAGATGCAATCATATATTGTACATTTCTATTGTGAACTCGACCTGTCCCAGTCCCAGGCTCCACTTCCAGGATTTCCATCCTGCCTCATGTTTCCTGCTGGGAGCCTATAAGAACACACCTGAACTCCACCCATCTCTCTCCCTCTCCCTCTCTCTCTGTCTCTCTCTCTGTCTCTCTCTGTCTCTCTCTCTCTCTCTCTCTCTCTATCTCTCTATTTCTCTCTCTCTCTCTCTCTCTGTCTCTCTCTCTCTCTCTCTCTGTCGCTCTCTCCCCCTCTCTCTCTTTTTCTGTCTCTCTCTCTCTCTCTCTCTCTCTCTCTGTCTCTCTATTTCTCTCTATTTTTCTCTCTCTCTGTCTCTCTATTTCTCTCTATTTCTCTGTCTCTCTATATCTCTATTTCTTACTCTCTCTCTCTGTCTTCCCCTTTTGGTTCTGATACTTTTGGCATTACTAGTCACTTTACCTGTTATTATTATCGTAGCTTTACCTTATTTCAATTCTACTGTCAATTACCTTAAATAATGGTCTCTTTGGTGTAACATACTGGGGCTCGTCTCTGGGGTGTAACATATTGGGGCTCGTCTCTTGGGTGTAACAAACTGGGGCTCGTCTCTTGGGTGTAATATATTGGGGCTCGTCTCTGGGGTGTAGCATATTGGGGCTCGTCGCTTGGGTGTAATATATTGGGGCTCGTCTCTTGGGTGTAACATATTGGGGCTCGTCTCTTGGGTGTAACATATTGGGGCTCGTCTCTTGGGTGTAACATATTGCTCTCGTCTCTTGGGTGTAACAAACTGGGGCTCGTCTCTTGGGTGTAACATACTAGGGCTCGTCTCTTGGGTGTAACATATTGGGGCTTGTCTCTTGGGTGTAACATATTGGGGCTCGTCTCTTGGGTGTAACATACTGGGGCTCGTCTCTTGGGTGTAGCATGTTGGGGCTCGTCTCTTGGGTGTAACATATTGGGGCTCGTCTCTTGGGTGTAACATACTGGGGCTCGTCTCTTGGGTGTAGCATGTTGGGGCTCGTCTCTTGGGTGTAACATATTGGGGCTCGTCTCTCGGGTGTAACATATTGGGGCTCGTCGCTTGGGTGTAACATATTGGGGCTCGTCTCTGGGGTGTAACAAACTGGGGCTCGTCTCTTGGGTGTAACATATTGGGGCTGGTCTCTTGGGTGTAACATACTGGGGCTCGTCTCTGGGGTGTTACATATTGGGGCTCGTCTCTTGGGTGTAGCATATTGGGGCTCGTCTCTGGGGTGTAGCATATTGGGGCTCGTCGCTTGGGTGTAACATATTGGGGCTCGTCTCTTGGGTGTAACATATTGGGGCTCGTCTCTTGGGTGTAACATATTGGGGCTCGTCTCTGGGGTGTAACATACTGGGGCTCGTCTCTTGGGTGTTACATATTGGGGCTTGTCTCTTGGGTGTAGCATATTGGGGCTCGTCTCTGGGGTGTAGCATATTGGGGCTCGTCGCTTGGGTGTAACATATCGGGGCTCGTCTCTTGGGTGTAACATATTGGGGCTGGTCTCTTGGGTGTAACATATTGTTCTCGTCTCTCGGGTGTAACATATTGGGGCTCGTCTCTGGGGTGTAACATATTGGGGCTCGTCTCTGGGGTGTAACATATTGGGGCTCGTCTCTTGGGTGTAACATATTGGGGCTCGTCTCTGAGGTGTAACATACTGGGGCTCGTCTCTTGGGTGTAACATGTTGGGACTCGTCTCTTGGGTGTAACATATTGGGGCTCGTCTCTGGGGTGTAACACATTGGGGCTCGTCTCTTGGGTGTAAAATATTGGGGCTCGTCTCTTGGGTGTAACATATTGGGGCTCGTCTCTGAGGTGTAACATACTGGGGCTCGTCTCTTGGGTGTAACACATTGGGGCTCGTCTCTTGGGTGTAACATATTGGGGCTCGTCTCTTGGGTGTAACATATTGGGGCTCGTCTCTGGGGTGTAACATACTGGGGCTCGTCTCTTGGGTGTAACATACTGGGGCTCGTCTCTTGGGTGTAGCATGTTGGGGCTCGTCTCTTGGGTGTAACATATTGGGGCTCGTCTCTTGGGTGTAATATATTGGGGCTCGTCTCTTGGGTGTAACATATTAGGGCTCGTCTCTCGGGTGTAACATATTGGGGCTTGTCGCTTGGGTGTAACATATTGGGGCTCGTCTCTTGGGTGTAACATACTGGGGCTCGTCTCTTGGGTGTAACATATTGGGGCTCGTCTCTTGGGTGTAACATATTGGGGCTCGTCTCTTGGGTGTAACATATTGGGGCTCGTCTCTTGGGTGTAACATACTGGGGCTCGTCTCTTGGGTGTAACATATTGGGGCTCGTCTCTTGGGTGTAACATATTGGGGCTCGTCTCTTGGGTGTAACATATTGGGGCTCGTCTCTTGGGTGTAACATACTGGGGCTCGTCTCTTGGGTGTAACATATTGGGGCTCGTCTCTTGGGTGTAACATATTGGGGCTCGTCTCTTGGGTGTAACATACTGGGGCTCGTCTCTTGGGTGTAACATATTAGGGCTCGTCTCTCGGGTGTAACATATTGGGGCTCGTCTCTGGGGTGAACATATTGGGGCTCGTCTCTTGGGTGTAACATATTGGGGCTCGTCTCTGGGGTGTAACACATTGGGGCTCGTCTCTTGGGTGTAACATATTGGGGCTCGTCTCTTGGGTGTAACATATTGGGGCTCGTCTCTGGGGTGTAACATATTGGGGCTCGTCTCTTTGGTGTAACATATTGGGGCTCGTCTCTGGGGTGTAACATATTGGGGCTCGTCTCTTGGGTGTAACATATTGGGGCTCGTCTCTTGGGTGTAACACATTGGGGCTCGTCTCTTGGGTGTAATATACTGGGGCTCGTCTCTTGGGTGTAACATATTGGGGCTCGTCTCTTGGGTGTAACATATTGGGGCTCGTCTCTGGGGTGTAACACATTGGGGCTCGTCTCTTGGGTGTAAAATATTGGGGCTCGTCTCTTGGGTGTAACATATTGGGGCTCGTCTCTGAGGTGTAACATACTGGGGCTCGTCTCTTGGGTGTAACACATTGGGGCTCGTCTCTTGGGTGTAACATATTGGGGCTCGTCTCTTGGGTGTAACATATTGGGGCTCGTCTCTGGGGTGTAATATACTGGGGCTCGTCTCTTGGGTGTAACATATTGGGGCTCGTCTCTGGGGTGTAACATACTGGGGCTCGTCTCTTGGGTGTAACATACTGGGGCTCGTCTCTTGGGTGTAGCATGTTGGGGCTCGTCTCTTGGGTGTAACATATTGGGGCTCGTCTCTCGGGTGTAACATATTGGGGCTCGTCGCTTGGGTGTAACATATTGGGGCTCGTCTCTTGGGTGTAACATACTGGGGCTCGTCTCTTGGGTGTAACATATTGGGGCTCGTCTCTTGGGTGTAACATGTTGGGGCTCGTCTCTTGGGTGTAACATATTGGGGCTGGTCTCTTGGGTGTAACATACTGGGGCTCGTCTCTTGGGTGTAACATACTGGGGCTCGTCTCTTGGGTGTAACATATTGGGGCTCGTCTCGGGGTGTAACACATTGGGGCTCGTCTCTTGGGTGTAACATATTGGGGCTCGTCTCTGGGGTGTAACATATTGGGGCTCGTCTCTGGGGTGTAACATATTGGGGCTCGTCTCTTGGGTGTAACATATTGGGGCTCGTCTCTGGGGTGTAACATATTGGGGCTCGTCTCTTGCGTGTAACATATTGGGGCTCGTCTCTGGGGTGTAACATATTGGGGCTCGTCTCTTGGGTGTAACATATTGGGGCTCGTCTCTTGGGTGTAACATATTGGGGCTCGTCTCTTGGGTGTAACATATTGGGGCTCGTCTCTTGGGTGTAACATATTGGGCTCGTCTCTTGGGTGTAACATGTTGGGGCTCGTCTCTTGGGTGTAACATATTGGGGCTCGTCTCTTGGGTGTAACATATTGGGGCTCGTCTCTTGGGTGTAACATATTGGGGCTGGTCTCTTGGGTGTAACATATTGGGGCTCGTCTCTTGGGTGTAACATATTGGGGCTCGTCTCTGGGGTGTAACATATTGGGGCTCGTCTCTTGGGTGTAACATATTGGGGCTCGTCTCTGGGGTGTAACACATTGGGGCTCGTCTCTTGGGTGTAACATATTGGGGCTCGTCTCTGGGGTGTAACATATTGGGGCTCGTCTCTTGGGTGTAACATATTGG